TGTCTGAGACCCTGAACCCCTCACCCACACCCCCTCTGTCTGAGACCCTGAACCCCTCACCCCCACCTGACCCTCTGTCTGAGACCCTGAACCCCTCACACCCCCTCTGTCTGAGACCCTGAACCCCTCACCCCCACCTGACCCTCTGTCACTGAGTCAGTTGAAAGTACAGATCAAACAGTTCTGTCCTTGAAGACTTTTGGTGTTCAGGTCAGTCCAGTTTCACACAAATACTCAGAACAGCTACGTCATGTTTTCATTCCTCTTTAAAGTGTGTGAATGTGGCTTGATAAAGTGCTATAAAAATTCTATTATCATATATATATAATTCAGTCCATTTATCATTTAAAATTCACCTTTGTGTCTGAAGAAAAACTTCATGTTTGTTAAGTTTTATATTTTGCAGTTTTTATCCATTTGCCTTGAAAAGCCAACAGACGAGGTGTTTTGTTTCCACACAGCTTGTTAAAGAACTACACAGCTCATTTKCTGGTAGTTAACACCAACACTGCCACCTACTGGCTAATCTACAAACCTCTGAACAACTGAACACCAAGCAGGTGTCCAGTTTTATCCAAGCATTAAATAAATGAATAAAGTTTTAGTTTCTACAGTATTGGTTTCATTTTATGCAGAAAAACGAATCATCTCTAAGAGTCAGAGACATCAGGTGGTTCTGAATCCTGAACTGACCTGAGGCTGGTACCCAATGACGCTGATGCAGCGAGGATCTACAAATGTGATGATGCCGTCCGAGTTATGGCGAGACAGGAACTCTGTGGGAACCGACAGGCCGTTCATGTCCATAGAAACTGGAGAGCTGGTTACCTGGGGGGGTGGGAGGGAAGTAAAGACACATCAGTTGATCCAGAACCAGAARCACTGAGGTTCTGATTCAGTTGGGTTCAGCTGGTGTACCTGCAGTCTGCCGATGGCCACCAGGCAGTACTTTCCTGTTTGACCCGCCTCTGTGTCCTCCTCRGGTATAGTCATACCTGAGTCCAACAAGAGGTGACAATCAGACTCAAAACAACATGGAGGCAAAAAGTCTGCTACCCAGGACCCAGAACCAGGAACCAGAACCAGCAGAACATCAGCATCAACCTGGGCCTTCGTTTCCATGACTCAAGCACCATYAATACTCAGAAACACCAGAAGAACCATTTGGATCAAACAAACAGATCAGATCTACCTTTTTTATTACCAAAATCATCAATWTTYAACCAATAAAAGGCTTGAACTACTTCAGCTGGTGTGCAATGATTCTAAAATATATGAAAGTTAATGTTTATCATTACGTTACAGAAAATAATGAACTTTATCACAATATGCTCATTTTTTGAGAAGGACCTGTACATCAAWGCTCCTCAGCTGAAAACAGTAAAATGATTTAAAAAATGTTTAAAAACTTCTTCCTAAGAACACTAAACTGTAACTTTAATAAGCTCATGTACACAGTTTACTAATATTTAAATAAAAATGTTTGTCCTGTAAGCAGAAAGCTGAAGGATGTTGATTTTTGGTCTCTATTTCAAAGAGGAGGAGGAGGAAGTTCTCCTCAAGCAGCTCCTAAAACTGTCAACCTGCTGACTGACAACATTTGTACATAGTACACTTTGTGTACATAGTAAACTTAGTGTATATAGTAAACTTAGTACACATAACAATATACTTATTAAATTAAATTTAAATTTCCATCCGTAGTACTCATCAAAGGGTCTTTGGACTGCACTTTGTCTGATCCCTCACCTAGGACCTGTTTGCCTTTAGTGACCCTACTGGGGGCATGAAGCCCCCGACAACATACAGTAGCCCCTAGTATCACTGGGACCGTCAAACCCCTCCACCATGATAAGGTGGCAGCCCAGTGTGAGGGCTGATGTGTGTGTTGATTTTTATGTCTTGTGATTCAACATGCACAGGTTAAAGTACACACACYCTCCTGGTAACTGCTGAACACCCAGGCTGGTTCTGGTTCCACCAAACCTGTCAGTGGTCCATTTAGAGGTATAAGAGTCTGTTTACCTGCAGGGGGCCAGGCTTTGATGTATCCYGTACAATGGACCACGGAGTACTGAGCCTCTCCTTCTTTAGAGGGTCCTAGACCATTCCTGGTCATCAGACACAGAAAGAAGATGTTTGGGTCCGGTCACACTATGACGTTTTAGAAAATTTATGCCAACTTGTGAAAAGTTTGTCCAACATTWAATATGTCTAAGCTGAAGATGGAATTTAAAAAATCTACTGGTAGCTTCTTTTGGAGCTAAATACTGTATACTGTAATACTAACAATTAAACTGAATACTGTACAGAGCTGATATGAGTAAATAATCATAACAAAGGTTTCATAAGTTGTGACAGTCTTTAGAAACAGATATAGACCTTCTTTTTCACAGGTTTTACCCCAGTTTAATACAAGTTTGTCACATGGATAACACAGCTTTAACCCAGATCTCTGTCCATCATCTTCCTCATGTTCCAGAGTCAGGTCTTAGGGGGCAGCAGATGGATCAGGGAGGTCCAGACCTCTCTTTCACCATACACCTTTTCCAGCTCTTCTGGGGGAACTCCAAGGTGTTACCAGACCAGTCGAGAGACAGGGTCTCTCCAAAGTGTCCAGYGTTTTCCTAGTGGTCTTCTCTTAGTTGGATATGTCCAGAACACCTTTCTATGAATCCTCACCAGATGCCTGAACCACCTCAACTGGTTCCTGTGGATGAGGAGGAGCAGCAGCTCAACTCTAGGTCTCTCCTGGAGAACTGAACTTCTCATCCTGTCTCTAAGGGAGAGTCCAGCTGCCCTGTGGAGAAAACATAGAGCTTCTCCTTACAGCTCAGCTCCCTCTGAACCACAACGAATAGGACAGAGTCCACAATACTGCAGAAGCTGCACCAGTCCATCTTGTGAACAAAACCACAAAATACTTGACTCRACTTGAGACAGAACTTCATTCCAACCCAAAGAGGGCAGTCTGCTCTTTTTCAACTGAGGACCATGGACTCATATTTGGAAGTGCTTATCCTCATCCCAGCTGTGAACCTCTCCAGAGAGAGCTGAAGACCACGGCTCACTGACACCAACAGAACCACATCATCTGCAAACAGCACTCCCTCTGCCCCCTGGCTGCACTGAGAAGTCACACACAGAATCAGTGACAACGGGCAGACCMGCCAGAGTCCAACTCCCACCCTGAAGGGGTCTGACTTACTACCGGCAATGTAAACTAAACTCTCACACCGGTTGTATAAGGACTGAATGTCCCATAACAACGGACCCACAATCCCAGAGTCAGAGAACCCTGGCCCCACAGAGTACTTCAAGGAACACAGTCAAATGCCTTCTCCAAGTGAATAAAACACATATCTGGTTGGACAAACTCCTGTGCCCCCTCAAGGACCATAGTGAGGGTAAAGAGCTGGTCCAGTGTTCCACAGCCAGGACAGAAACCACATTGRTCCTCCCGAATCTGAGGTTCAAACGTCAGAGACCTTCTTCTCCATCACCCCTAAACAGGCCTTACTGGGAAGCTAAGGAAAGTGATGCCCCTAGAATAGGAAGAGGGGAACCACCACCACAAGAACCAATCCAGTGGACCTGCTCCTGATGTCCATGTGATGGACCAAGACATTACAGTAACATTCAGAGCCTTGAAGAACCCAGAGCGAACCTTTTCTACCCTCAGAGACTTCTAGTGTTTTGTAATGATCTCTGCAACCTCAGCTCCAATTTTGGAAAGACCAACACCAAGTCCTGAGACTCAGCTTTCTCCAACGTAGATGTGCTGACTGGATTGAGAAGGTCCTCCACATTCTCCTTTCACCACCAGATGACATTACTGTTTGAGGTCAACAYGCCCCACCTCCACTGTGAACAGTGGTGGTTCTGCTTTTCCTACCTCAGCTGCACGACGGTTCACTAGAATCTTTCTGCAGCTCATCAAGATTGTCCGTCTTAGAAATCACAGAACTCCTCTCACACCCAAGCCTTTGCATCAGCAACAGCCAGGACTGGATCCTACTTGGTCCCTTGACACCCTTCAGCTGCCTTTGGAGTCCTACCAGCCAATAAGGCCTGATAGGACACCTACAGCTTGGTCTCCACCAGAGGCTTTGAAGATGGCTGCCACATGGGGCACTAACAACCTTGTGACCATAGCTCAGAGCAGCCATGGCCCACCCAGATTCATGGTCCCGTCCTTCACTGGGATGTGATGAAATTCTMTTCTTCTGATGGGTTCTTCCACCAGCCATTCACAGCAAACCTTCACTATGGGATTGGTTCTATTGGGTCTGTCTCCCATCTGGTCCTACTAACCTCCAGGTTGTGATCAGTTGACAGCTCAGTTCCACTTTTTACCCTAGTGTCCAAAATATGAAGCCACAGATCAGGAGACATGACTACAAAGTCTATCATTAATGGGCAGCCTAGGGGAGCCCGGTGCATCTTCATGTTCTAACGTTCGTTATGGATACACCGTGACAAACAGAAGCCAGTACCACCCACATCAGAACCCCAGACCTTGACCAGTAACACCTGAACCAGAAACTCATACCTGTATCTTTTCCTCATGTTGGACAGACGGTTTAGAGAGATGTGGTCCAAAGGAGAGCTGCCACACCTGAAAATCACAAACACACAAAACAAATCAGCTGATGCCAGAGTTTCTGAAAGCTGCAGAGGATCAGAAACAGAAACTTTAAAACAACAACAACACGACTACAGCCTAAAGAAATCCCAGCTTTAGTAAGTTACTTATTTGATCATAAAATATGTTCAGAATTTTTTTTTATAAAAGAAGGGTGAGATGATTTAAAATCCTSTAGCTTTGCACTGAAGCCTGGTTCTGATGTGTTTCTTTTCAAACATCTACTGTGTTCCTTCCAGCAGAACCAGTGCGTCTCAGCAGGAACCAGAACCAAGTATCAAAGTGATCCAAAGCAGTTTACAGCAGCTGCTGGATGAGCGCAGGGTGTTATCAGACATGAGGAGTGAAAAAGAGCCGGGCTGATTGTAGCTGAACAAACACATTCAAACCCATGATGGACCTGTCTCCTCTCTGTACCATATCATAAACCCTAGATTCAAATCAGTTGGTTTACAAAGAACCAATTCACAACACAATTCATTCAGGGCGCTGCAGAAAGACTGTCATACCGGACAGACAGATGTACAGACAGTGGACATTACATCAACAGAGACAGTTCCACTTCACATAAACAGGTCCTGGCAGTCTGAGGGTTCTGCTCATCGTCTCAGCTTGTCCTCGGACTGAGCTCGTCTGCAGAGCTCTCTGACGTTGTTCCTAGGGTCCTTTGAAGCCACTCTTCAGTTTGGAGACCACAGCACTGAGTGCTCCGGTGGGACAGGTTAGGTTAAGTCACACCTCAATTAATCAGGAGGTGATGTAGAAATGAAGCCATGCTGGCTCAGAGGTCGCCTCCTCAAAATAAGAAAATAGGCAAGATTCTTTGAACGTTAGGGTCAAAGGTCGTGTTTCTGACAACCACACTAACCGCATGCGACAAATGAAGGATCGTCTGGAACCCATACACATCCTCATGGAAGACTGCTGACCCTCCTTTTTCACTGTTCCAGTCTTCAAGTCCAGGATCCGTCCTGTTAAAGAAAACCACGTCAGGTTATGGTGACATGAGTCAAACTCAGCTGAGTACCGACTAAAACACAAGTTCTGACTCTAACTCCAGCTCTGTGAATCCTGGATGACCACCAGAGAGGCCTGTCTATGGTTCTAATTTCATGCTGCTTGGTGCAGCTGTTTCTGTGCTACGATAGGTCAAAATGCTCTGAAATCATCAAACTAAATAAACCGAATCACAATAATTACATAACTCTATAAGTGACTTCATGTTTGTAACAGAAACATCTGAATCCTTGATTCAGTTCTTTCTGGAGGCAATYATAAAGAAATGAAATCAAAGATGGTTTGTTTGATCAGGAACTTGGTGACGAGTTAAAAACTGATGATGGAGGTTTGGTTCTGTCTCTACCTGTCATGGAGTTCTCCGAGGTGCTCAGCTGCTCTCTCAGTTTGTCCACATCATCCGGGTGGACCTGGTCGTACAGAGTGCTGCCCAGCCACTCGGACTGGGGGTGGTTTAGGACCGGTGTCACAGAGTCTGACACGTAGATGACCCGGCCCGTCTCTGCAGCAACCACAAACAGAAAGCCATCTGCTGCTTCCAGAATCAAGTGCTTCAGTTCCTGCAGGTCCATAAAGAGTCCATCAGAACACAGTCCGTCAAACGGGTCAGCTCAGCTGAACTGAAACATTATTTTACTGGTCACACAAAGGCACAGTGTGTAGGATCTGTTGTTTTCAGTGACATCTAGTGGTTGAGTGGTTGAATCATCCTCCCTGGTCCTCCCCCCACCCCCCACTTCCAAACACAAAGGAGTTGCTACGGTGTCTCTCAGGGGTCAAAAACCTTTGATAATTCCAACGCGATGTCTACCAGCAGCTTCAGGGCTAGTGATGTTTCAAGTGGTAAGATTATGAGCTTTAATAAGTAAAATTATCCCAGCTACAATGACAGACAACAAATATTACATTTATAMTATTACAACTAAAACCGTTTTTTACGCCGCCACCGCAGTTTGTCCTTCATGAGCCTTCGTAGACAAGATGGCAGGCTGCCTGTAGTGGCGACCCGTGACCATGGAGATATAAACAGCTTTTTATAAGGTAAAAATAATAAAACAAAGTCTTTGTCTGCAATGATTAGACATGTTTTTATTATTGTCATTAGTGATTATCTCAYTTTCTGCTAAAAGACTTGATAAAATCCTACACACTGAGCCTTTAAAGCCATGCTACCAGAACAGAAGCAGGAGTCAGAGATCACCTCACACACATTCATCATTTCACTGGACCTTATTCTATAATGTCTAAACCAATCAGTTAGTTTGACTTGGTGAATATGGAGTAAAACATGTCAGTTTGAACTCAAGAGGTCCTGAAAACAAATCAATTTGTTTTTACTGGATGAAACTCTAACTTTCTGCTGTTTATTAGTGTGACAGGACATTTGTTCTAGAGCCTTTCTAAAAGAACAAACCACAGAGTTCTGCAGCTCCATGTCTATAAAGTACCTGTTCTGTGAGGAAGGAGGGCTTGTAGGCACCATCAGTGGAGGTGTTTCCAGTTCCACGCATGGATTTCATGTGTGAGACAGCCATGCGCAGGATGGTCAGCTTATCAGGTTTTCTGGCAAGTGCACTACAAGTAGGGACCATGTCTGACAACTCAGTGATGTACTGTGTCATCTTGTTACGCCGCCGTCGCTCAATCTCACTGTGGTTCTCTCTAAAACAGGACAGAATCATCAGAACCAGAACCTTGACCCTGGGAAACATTCACACATCTGTGATCCCAGACCAGCTCCAAAGGAAGAAACTTGACACAAAAACACTGTTTGTGATGCTAATGTTTGTGATGCTAATGTTTGTGATGCTAATGTTTGTGATGTTAATGTTTGTGATGCTAATGTCTGTGATGCTAATGTCTGTGATGCTATCTGTGATGTTAATGTTTGTGATGCTAATGTCTGTGATGCTATCTGTGATGTTAATGTTTGTGATGCTAATGTCTGTGATGCTATCTGTGATGTTAATGTTTGTGATGCTAATGTCTGTGATGCTATCTGTGATGTTAATGTTTGTGATGCTAATGTCTGTGATGCTATCTGTGATGTTAATGTTTGTGATGCTAATGTCTGTGATGCTATCTGTGATGTTAATGTTTGTGATGCTAATGTCTGTGATGCTAAAGTTTGTGGTGCTATCTGTGATGCTATCTGTGATGCTAATGTTTGTGATGCAATCTGTGATGCTAATGTTTGTGGTGCTATTTGTGATGCTAATGTTTGTGATGCTATTGTTTGTGATGCTATCTGTGATGCTATCTGTGATGCTATCTGTGATGCTATCTGTGATGCTAATGTTTGTGATGCTATCTGTGATGCTAATGTTTGTGATGCTATCTGTGATGCAATCTGTGATGCTAAAGTTTGTGGTGCTATCTGTGATGCTAATGTTTGTGATGCTAAAGTTTGTGATGCTATCTGTGATGCTAAAGTTTGTGATGCTATCTGTGATGCTAATGTTTGTGATGCTATCTGTGATGCAGCATGGGTGAAACATTGTGTCATACAGAATCCAAAGAAATGAGATCTGAGTCCTGTCAGCAGTAAAGAACATGGAAATCAGAATTTATCGAGCTCTTATTTTTTGTTTCTATCGTATCAACTGGTTGAACGTTCAGAAACACTGAACTCTGAATGTTTTCATTCAGGGTTCTCACCTTGAAAATTTGCTTGGTCCTTCTCCGTCCTCATCATCAAAGTCCATCCTGAAAGACAACAGTTTGTTTTCATTAAGCTCAAACAACCTTAGACTGTTAAAATAATTTGAAAGTTTAAAATCTGAGATTATCTGAGCCTCAGTCAGGTTCATGTTTTTTAAGGAAATAGATGTAGCTGTTTGTAGCAGCAAAACATTTTTTACAGAAGCTAAAACTTTTCAGCTTCTCTTTTTTCCTTCTGTTCTTTCAGGAATAATTCTTCCTAAGACAAATATAAGATGATCCTCACCCTGCAGACCTCCTCTTCCCAGCACGGCCCGTCACAGCTCCTCCCATCCTCACGGGACCAGACCCAACAGCTCCAGGCATCGACACAGCTCCTGGCAACTCGCTGCCCATCTCTGGATCAGAACCAGCAGAGGAGACCAACACTGCTTCAGACAAACCTTTCAGAAGTTTTTAGAAGTTTTTAGTCTTCAGGTAAACATTTCAGATAAAAAATAATCATGTGGCTCATTTTAAGAAACACTTTTAGCACCATTATATCAGTAGGCTGACCCAGTAATGGGCCCAGTTCTGTCCCACTAACACACTGGTCTTTATTCAAACCTTCTCGTCCCTCAGGTGAAGGTCACCAGGTTAGAACCAGTTCTGAGCTTCTCAGGTCCATAAAGGTTCTCCAAGAATCCTTTCCCTTTGACCACTCAGAGCCAGGCAGTGCAAAGAGGTCTGTAGTTCAACGCCACAGGCATCACACAGACCATTGTCATGGAGTCCCATCAGCACTTTGTGCTGGTGGAGCAGATTGTGTCCAGTTAGACCAGGGGTCTCCAACCAGAGAACTTAGACCAGGGGTCTTCAACCAGAGAACTTAGACCAGGGCTCTCCAACCAGAGAACTTAGACCAGGGGTCTCCAACCAGAGAACTTAGACCAGGGGTCTCCAACCAGAGAACTTAGACCAGGGGTCTCCAACCAGAGAACTTAGACCAGGGGTCTCCAACCAGAGAACTTAGACCAGGGGTCTCCAACCAGAGAACTTAGACCAGGGGTCTCCAACCAGCAGCTCATGAGATCAAAGCAGATCTTCAGTGCTTCTGAAAAATTAGGAAAATCAAACTTTAATTTGTCACTGACCAAACAAACTTTCATTTAACTCCAATCAATCGACAGTTTGTTTGTGTACACATCTTTTATAGTCCTCTGACACACACTGTGCCTGCCTGACTCCCTGGGGGCTGTAGTGACCTGGGAAACCCCTCCCAGTGGGAGGGGTTTCCCAGGTCACTACAGCCCCGGGGTTTCTGCTTCCTGGAGTCTACACTGCAGAAACAAACTGGAGACCATCAGCTCATGGTGTTTGTACACATCTGTTAAACACTAAATTATTAATATGAAAAACTGACTGGATGAAGACAAAAAACACGTTCCTGTAAATTCAGTTTGTTTGTGATGTTTTCATGTCAACTGAAGACAAAAAATTTTATTACAATTGTTTATGTTTAAATTTAAGTTTAAATTTAAATAATGCACAAAGTAGCTCCTGTTGAAAAAAAGGTTGGAGACGCCCAAACCTACTACTTACAGTACACAGTACATACTCACAGTACACAGTATATACTCACTGTATACAATATATACTCACTGTACACAGTATATACTTACTGTATATAATATATACTCACTGTACACAGTACATACTCACAGTACACAGTACATACTCACAGTACACAGTATATACTCACTGTATACAATATATACTCACTGTACACAGTATATACTTACTGTATACAATATATACTCACTGTACACAGTACATACTCACAGTACACAGTATATACTCACTGTATACAATATATACTCACTGTACACAGTATATACTCACAGTACACAGTATATACTCACTGTATACAATATATACTCACTGTACACAGTATATACTCACAGTACACAGTATATACTCACTGTATACAATATATACTCACAGTACACAATATATACTCACTGTACACAGTATATACTCACTGTACACAGTGTGTACTCACTGTACACAGTATATACTCACAGTACACAATATATACTCACTGTACACAGTATATACTCACTGTACACAGTGTGTACTCACTGTACACAGTATATACTCA